CTTGTTTGAGGTGACCAAATACTTATTTTCCACCCTGATTTACGAATAAATTCTTTACAAATCCTACCATGTGAATTCATGGATTTTATTTTTTCACATTCTGTCTCTCACAGTTGAAGTGTACCTCTGGTGCAAATTACTGACCTCTGTCATCATTTTAAGTCGGGGAACTTGCACAATCGGTGGCTGACTAAATACTTTTTTGCCCCACTGTATATGGTACAGGGACTGGATAGTTAACCCTACACTACTGATGCACCCTCAGCAGGACACAGGACACCCTGTTTCCACACCACAAAGCACATGAAGGTTGGCTGTGAAAACTTTCATGCATCCTTAAATATAGTTATGCTTCTGCTAAACCAACACATCTAAAAGAAAAGTTTGAAACTGCACAAAGCAGATCCACTTGCTTTAAAGCATCAGCTGACTGCAGTGCGGTTGGTTAAATACATAACCCTGGCCAATAGGCATGATGTATAGGTCTTAGACAGAACCATGGTATTGTATAAAAGTGTAAGTGTTCTGGTTTAATACGATGCAGCTTTGCAAACTGTCCATACCTGTTCAGTCTTTGGGGTGAATTTGCTGGGATGTCCATTCCTAGGAAAATTGTCAGTAAGTAAAATGTTATTTATATAGCACGTTTCTAGATAGAAAGATCACAAAGTGCTTCACAAAGTATAAAACAAAAACTGTCAGCTGTCTTCCGCTTGTGAAAAATCCTTAAAAATGTTTATGAATGGCCTCTGTAGATGCTGGAGTCACTATATTTAATCCCTCATTAATGTCAAAGTGTTTATTATTATAATAAGTGTTTTTTGGATCAATATTTCTAATAATGACATCATCACAGGTGGAGACGCCCAGATGTGTCTCTGTTTGTGACTTGAATTGGAATAAAGTTTTATCTTGTGGAGTGTAGCTTGAATGACAAGACGTTGGGTGTAGATGGAGACTGAGGACTAAACAAACTGCAGCTGAACATGTTCAGACTCTTGAGGCATCAGGATGTTTTACCTGAGCCAGTTTTCATGTTGGTCTTTCAGGGAGAAGCAGCAAAAGGTTCAGGACATCAGGAAGAACGTGAAGGACGCCATCGTGGTGAGTGACATGATGGCGAACACAGAACCTCAGTAATTGGTTCAAACATTTGAAAAACAATTTCCAGTTGGAGGTTAATCACAGGTGGTGACGGACAGCTGGAGCAAATCTGTGTGTGTGTGTGTGTGTGTGTGTGTGTGTGTGTGTGTGTGTGTGTGTGTGTTTGTTTTAGACAATTGTGTCAGCTATGACTATTCTGGCTCCGCCCATTCCCCTGGGTAACCCTGGTAACCAGTTCAGAGCGGACTACATCAAGAGCATCGGTCCTCTGTCTGACTTTGAATACACCGAGGTAACACACACACACACACACACACACACACACAGGTGAGGCTGCTTACCTGTAAAGCTGGCGCAGCGAGCATAAACAGGCGAGTTTCTTTCAGTCCTGCAGGAAATCAGACACGTCACATGACGGTCGGAGGTCGTGTGGCGTGTGAACGTTTGACTGGCTGGAAGAAAGAAGTTGTTAAAGGTGTTTCTGTTTTAAAGGTTGACGCTGGTGGATTTGAAGTGAGTGACATCACTGGGGTGTGATTGTTGTGTGAATTGTCAAAAGGATTTACTTCACCACTCTGTGTAAAGATCAGTTTGTGTTTAAGTTTCCAGCCATCACAGAAATATAAATAATCACTGAAAGCGATGAAGTTAATCCAACATCTCCGTATTGTCACCTCGTGACCAATGGTCAGGACTTCCTGCAGGACAGGTGAGACCAAGGTGTGACACATACAGGCAGCTCGGCTGAAGCTGTCTGCAGTCGTCAGCAGCTAAGAGAAGACTTACCTGATTACAGGTGAGCTGCACCTTTAAAGCAGCACCAGGAGACCTGCTTTAAATCTTGTTTGTTTTAATGATGTTAATGACATGATGTAACGGCTTCACCTCAGCCGCACACACACCTGCCTCAGGGAATCACCTGAGGCCTCATTATCCAAACAGTGGAGTCTCTGAAGACTCAGACTCAAAACAAATGTCTTCCTGCGTTGCTTCACTCTCACACGCTTCACGGCGCAGTCACTGCTGTCCAGTCAGCCGACATCGCCCTGCCAACGTGTCAGCCGCCCTAAAAATATTAAACTGTGGAAATCACAGCTCCTCCTCAGTAGATTAGGTGTGGACGCTACTGTAATATCCAGCAACATGAGCTCTGTTCATCCAGCCTTCAGTCAGCACCACATGATTTATAAATGATAAAATCAACTACCTGTGAGTTCATGTTTAACAACATCTGCCCACTGACATACCAGTGTGGCCGGAGGGTTAGAGAGCTGTGACATTCTACTGCGTAGACAGGAAGCCTGGGTTTGAACGGCAAACACGTGAAAATGAATGAAATAAACTACCTTTGTGTCCCGAACTGGATCAAGGTTTCAGTGTGACGGGATCACTTTAGTGCTGCAGCAGTGAGTTCATGTTAAACCAGGAAAGACTGTCCACTTTATTGTCTGTAGCAGGAAGTGCTGCACTGAAACAGCTGTTAGCTGTGAGGTTGGTGTTTGTGTACGAGGAGTGTGGAGGTGGAGAGCCTGTTTGAGTCCCCAGACTGACGGCTGGAGTCCGACACTCCAGTTTTTCCCTGCAACACCGGGTGTATCGAGCCAATCAGCTGGGCAAAGCAGATGATCAGCTATCAGTGCTACTTTATGCTATAAATGAGTCTCTTAGCCAACACAACCAAACAGTTTACAGCATCACAGGTTATCACACAGCACAAAATATTTCCTACTGAAACACAATCATGCTAACATCCATCAGCATGTCCACAGGGAAAAAAATCTCCATGTTACGGTCTCATCACATTTGACTTTGCTTTTCCTCACTTCTGATATGAAGTCGTCCAGTCAGTCAGACGATGTAAGGGAAAACACATCTCCAAAAAGTGTGCCGTCTCTTCCTCGTTGTCTATGCCCTTTTCCCCCTGCAGATATGCTGATGGATTCACAATCATGCTTCGACAGGAAACGTCAAAGCTAAACTTTTGATCTTTCAGGAGTTCTTTGAGCATGCTCAGAAGCTGTGGGAGGACGACGGTGTGAAGGCGTGCTTTGAGCGTGCCAATGAATATCAGCTGATTGACTGCGCTCAGTAGTAAGACACTCACATTCACATGTTCCAGTCTTTGTGAGGGCCTTCATTACACCCAGGGCACTGGCACACCTCAGCACAGATACCGCTTCTGACCCTCACTCATGTTACAACTTGGTTCAAAAGCATAAATGTGGAGACTGAGACCAGAGCTTGAAGAAGCATGGGTTTGACTTTAAATTACAAAAGAAGTTAGCTGTATCATTTGGTAACCCAAAGATTCTCAGGCATCCCATTGGCAGGTGTAGTCAGTTCACAATCAAACATAGGCCCCACCTGAATGCTACTGCACTGTCACTGCAAAGAGAACTGTGTCCTCATAAAGATATACAAACCATCACACACTCTGCAATCTCAGTGGACCAATCACAACACTCCTGTACAGCTTCTCATCATCATCTCATCCTGTGTTTCAGCTTCCTGAATCGGCTGGAATCAGTTCGGAGGCCCGATTACTCACCCACCGACCAGGTAACGAACCAGCCAATCAAACAGCAGCACCCAGCATGACTCACCTATTGCTGACTCGCTGTTCTCCTCCTGCAGGACCTGCTGCGCTGCAGAGTTCTGACTTCAGGGATTTTTGAAACCAGTTTTCAGGTGGACAAAGTCAACTTCCAGTAAGTGGAACGACCAGCAGAACAGTTTCACGGACAGGAAATTAGAATCGGAATCAGAAAGGGTTTTACTAGGGGACTAGTAAAAGCGCTATACAAATACAGGCCATTTACCAGGCCAATGTTGAGCAGGTTTACAACATTAGGAAATTGCTGTGGTACTTAGTGCAAACATACTGTCAGACAACGCTGAAATAAACAAAAATAAAAATAAGTGCTAAGTAGATAGATTTATATACATGAGTGCAGGTGGTGATCAGTGCAAACATGGAATGATGCAGTGAACACAGCATAGGGTCATATGTTAGTGGTGCCAACAGTCATGTGGTTATTGTTCATGAGTCCAACAGCAGAGGGGAAGAAACTGTTCTCATGGCGAGAGGTTCTGGTGCGAATGGACCGGAGCCTCCTGCCTGAGGGGAGCAGGTCAAACAGACTGTGTCCAGGGTGAGAATGGTCAGCTGTGAGCTGTGTCAGTCAGGATGATGGGGGGGGCTGTGTGCTTCCTGAAGTCCACAATAATCTCCACTGTCTTCTGGGCGTTCAGCACCAGGTTGTTGTGGCTGCACCAGGACACCAGACGTTCAACCTCCCTCCTGTAGGCAGACTCATCCCCGTCCGAGATGAGTCCAATAACGGTGGTGTCATCTGCAAACTTGATTAGCTTGACAGACTGGTGGGTGGAGGTGCAGCAGTTGGTGTACAGGGAGAAGAGCAGAGGAGAAAGAACACAGCCCTGAGGGGAGCTGGTGCTGATGGTCCGGGAGTCCGAGACGTTCTTTCCCAGCCTCACATGCTGCTTCCTGTCCGTCAGGAAGTCAGTGATCCACCGGTAGATGGGATCAGGCACATTCATCTGGGAAAGCTTGCCTTGGAGATGGTCTGGAAGGATGGTGTTGAAGGCAGAGCTGAAGTCCACAAACAGGATCCTGGCGTAGGTTCCTGGGGAGTCCAGATGCTGCAGGATGAAGTGTAGGGCCATGTTGATGGCGTCATCTACAGATCTGTTGGCTCTGTATGCAAACTGCAGGGGGTCCAGGAGGGGGGCCGTAGGGTCTTGAGGTAGGAGAGAACCAGGCGCTCAAATGACTTCATGACCACAGATGTCAGAGCCACAGGTCTGTAGTCATTTAGTCCAGTGATCCTAGGTTTCTTGGGGACAGGGATTATGGTAGAGGACTTGAAGCAGGCAGACACATGACATGCCTGCAGTGACGAGTTGAAAATGCCAGAAAACACTGGGGCCAGCTCGTTTGCACAGTGTCTGAGGGTGGCAGGAGACACACCGTCTGGGCCAGGAGCTTTCCGAGCATTCAGACTCTTAAACTGCTTCCTCACATCTGTTTGAATATGAAGGGTTGTGGTGGGCGGAGGTGGTGTGAAATCCTCTTTTGTGTGGGGTGAGGAGGGGGGTGTTGTAGGTGAACAGAGGGTGGGGGAATTAGTGTCCAAAGTGCCTCTATTGTTGGGGCCGTTGGAGGTGTGAAGGCTGCCTGATGGCTCGTCAAAACGGCAGTAAAAGTCGTTAAGGGTGTTGGCCAAGAGCAAGTCATCGGTGGATGGGGGGTTTTAGGCTTGTAGTTGGTGATATTCCTAAAACCTTTCCACACAGAGGCCGAGTCATTCTCTGAGATCTGCTGCTGCATCTTCTCAGAGTGCTGATGTTTAGCAATGTCCACTTCTTTAGTGAACCTGTACTTGGCCTCTCTGTAGCAGTCCCTGTCTCCGCTTCTGAACGC